ATACCTCTCGTCACTTGATTATCTACTCTTAACAGATAGCGGAGAGCCGGAGTGTTATGAAGAGGCAGTGCAAGTGAGTGAATCTCAGCAGTGGGAGCATGCGATGCAGGAGGAGATGGATTCTCTACTCACTAATGAGACATGGGAGTTAGCCCAGCTACCTGCACAGAAGAAAGCCTTGCACAATAAATGGGTCTACCGGGTCAAGCAGGAGAGTGATGGAAGCAAGAGATTCAAGGCCAGATTAGTAGTGAAAGGGTTTCAACAGCGGGAAGGAGTGGACTACACGGAGATATTTTCCCCTGTTGTGAAACTCACAACCATCAGAGTGGTGTTGAGTTTGGTAGCTGCAGAAGACCTCTTCCTTGAGCAGTTAGATGTGAAGACTGCCTTTCTTCATGGTGACTTGGATGAAGAAATCTACATGAAGCAGCCTGTTGGCTTCATTGAAGAAGGAAAGGAAGAGATGGTGTGCAAGCTCAAGAAGAGCTTATATGGTTTGAAACAGGCTCCGAGACAGTGGTATAAGAAGTTTGATAACTTCATGCAGAACAATGGCTACAGAAGATGCAATTCGGATCATTGCTGTTATTTCAAAAGGTTCGAGTCCAGCTTCATTATTTTGTTATTATATGTTGATGACATGTTGGTAGCAGGACCGTGTTTAGAAGAGATAAACAGTTTGAAGAGGCAGCTAGCAAAGGAATTTGCAATGAAGGATCTGGGTGCAGCGAAGCAGATTCTAGGGATGCGAATCAGTAGGGATGAAGCTGAAGGGACATTGAGTTTGAGCCAAGCTGAATACATTGAGAAGGTACTTCAGAGGTTCAACATGCAGAATGCTAAAGTTGTTAGCACACCCCTTGGAAGTCAGTTCAAGTTATCTGAGGAGCAATCGCCTAAGACAGATGCAGATAGAGAGCATATGAGCAGGGTGCCATATTCTTCAGCCATTGGGAGTCTCATGTACGCGATGGTTTGCACGAGGCTGGACATCGCCCATGCAGTGGGAGTTGTGAGCAGATTTGCAAGCAATCCAGGAAAGCAGCATTGAGAGGCCGTAAAGTGGATAATGCGGTACTTGAGGGGAACAACGAACAAGCCACTATGTTTCAGGAGGAAGGAGTTGGTGCTGCAGGGTTGCGTGGATGCGGACTTCGCCGGTGATCATGATACGAGGCGAAGCACCACGGGGTATGTTTATACCTTAGCGTCGACAGCAGTGAGCTGGGTCTCACGTCTGCAGAAGATTGTGACTTTGTCTACAACCGAGGCTGAGTATGTCGCTGTGACTGAAGCAAGCAAGGAGATGATCTGGTTGAACGGGTGTTTGGAAGAGTTGGATCTGAAGCAAGGGAGAGGAGTTCTTTATTGTGATAGCCAGAGCGCTATACATCTTGCCAAGAATCCAGTATATCATGCCAGAACGAAGCACATCGACGTTAAATACCATTTTATACGCTCGCTGATCGAGGACGGAAAGTTGCACTTAATGAAGATTTTGGGGAGTCAAAATCCGGCGGACATGTTGACGAAGGCAGTCACCATTGAGAAACTGGAGTTGTACGCAACTTCAGTTGGCCTTCACGAGTAGAAGACGAAGGCGGAGCCACACGAGGGAGTCAAAATCCGACGGACATGTTGACGAAGGCAGTCACCATTGAGAAACTGGAGTTGTACGCAACTTCAGTTGGCCTTCACGAGTAGAAGACGAAGGCGGAGCCACACTACGAGGATCGGCGCGATCGTCGGGATGTTGATTGAAGAAAGAATTTTTTTAGAGAAAAAGATACATGCGAAGAAGGGGAGAGTTCGGGTGAGCTCGATGATGACGCTTTGGTCTCCAAGTGGGAGATTGTTAGTCTAAGTGTGTAGACCCAAAGCTGCAATCGAAAAGACGAAGAAAAACAGTCAGAAGACTGTGCGGTCGACCGCAGTGGCAGAGCCGGTCGACCGCGTGCACTGCAGGAGACTGAGAAGAAGTTTTCGCTCTGGTCGGTCGACCGGCGTGGCCGCTGCGGTCGACCGCAAATGTGCACAGGACCCTGTAAACAGATTTTTCTCTGGCCGGTCGACCGGCCTTGGCATGGCGGTCGACCGCGAATCGCCCAGACAGTTTCCTGATCTGTTTAGGAATCTGTTTCATTTCAGGATTCTATAAATACCCAAACGTTTTTAGGGTTTGTAAGACATCAAAAAGAGAGCTTTTTGGCTGCAAAGAGAGAGAGAATCTCAGAGAGATTTACCCCTTGTTTGAGAGCTTGTATTTTCTTCTTCAATTAATAGAAAGATTGTGTGGTGTGGCTCCCGAGGACGTAGGCACGTTGCCGAACCTCGTTAAATCTGTGTGTTCGTCTCTTTTACTGTTTTTTACAAGGTTAGATCTTTATTTGTGGTTTATTTCTACTTTCCTACTTTCAACACAAGGTCCGGAAGGGCAAGGGTTCGATTGATTGTTTCGAATCCCCAACAAATCAGTTGTGTCCTCAATACCACAAAACACTATTTACCTTCG